GGGGTTTAGGGTTTAGGGTGCGGGTTTAGGGTTTTAACTTGTAACACTCTAAACCCTAAACCCTAAACCCTAAACCCTAAACCCTAAACCCTAAACCCTAAACCCAAACCGTGGCTCCCCCAAAAAAAGCCCAAGGCACATCTGGAACTCGCGACCTCGCACGCAGAAGCTCTCCGAGACATCCATGGCGTCGGTCCCGGAAGGGGTCCGGCTGTCGGGCTTGAGGTTTAGGGTCCCTAAACCCTAAACCCTAAACCCCTAAAGCCCTAATCCCTAAACCCTAAACCCCTGAAGCCCTAAATCCCTAAACCCTAAACCCCTCAGCCCTAAACCCTAAACCCTAAACCCCTCAGCCCTAAACCCCCAAATCCCTTAACCCCTAAACCCCTAAACCCTAAACCTCTAAAACCCTAAACCCCTAAACCCTAAACCTCTAAAACCCTAAACCCCTAAACCCTAAACCTCTAAAACCCTAACGGCCTTCGGGTTTTGGGTTCCGGGCTTGGGGACTAGGCTGGAGGGCTTGGGGGTGCGGGGTCCGGGCTTAGGGATTAAGGTTGATGGTTTAGGGTTTGGGGGTCCGGGATTTGGGTTTCGGGCTTAGGGGTTTGGAGTTTAGGGCTTTAGGGTTTAGGCTTTAGGGTTTAGGGTTTGGAGTTTAGGGCTTTAGGGTTTCGGGTTTAGGGGGGTTTAAGGCTTAGGGTTTAGGGTTAGCTGGGTCCAGCAAGGGGTCTGGCTATAGAGCTTAAGCTACAGAGCCTCGGAATTAGAGTTTTGGCCTCTAGGGACGAAGGCGAAGGGTTCCTTTTCAGGCTTCCCCATAAGAGCACAAGGTTTGGTAGAAGGGTCTGAAGCTGTTGGGCCTAGGGTTTTGGTTCATGTTCTTGGGCGTAGGGCTTTCGAGTTTCGGGTTGAGTAGAGTTAGGGGTGTACTCCGGCACGGTTATGCTTGGACTCGAAGTGGATATGACTACGATTTAGTGGAACCTCTTGACCGCTATGTGATATTGATCCCTCAAACTCTTCACTGCCGGAGGCCTGAGGGGGCTTAAAGGTTGAGGCATGTAGGATTGAAGTGCAAGGTTTGGAGGCGGAGGTCTAAACCGGAAGCCCCAAAGCCTGAGCTCCAAACCCTACAACCTTGAACCCTAAAGCCTGCAAGCCGCGCCTGCATCCCAACACCCCAAATCCTTAACATTCAAGCCGCCTTAAGCGACTAAACCCAAAACCCTCTAAAGCCTAAACCCTAAACCCTAAACCCTGAACCCGAAATCCTAAACCCTAAATCCTAAGCTCTAAACCCTAAGCCCAAACCTTCAAAATATTCGAGTCTTCTCCTGCTTCAGCTGCTGCGCGAGCTCCGGATTCTCGTGCTCCAGGCGCTGCAGCAGCACCTGTGCTGGGTATGATGGGATGTTTCATTCAACTATATGGTATCCATACCCTAAACCCTGAATCCTAAACCCCTAAGCCCCGAAACCCTAAACCCCTAAACCCTAAACACTAAACACTAAACCCCTTAGGGGTTAAACCCTAAACCCTATCCATAGGCTTGTGTAACATTGGGGCCTTAGTAATTCGATTAAGGTTTTGGGGCCCCCCAAAAAAATAGTATTGGTAATTGTGTAGGCCCCTACAGTACAGTAAAAACCAACCTTTCAATTTGAGACCCGGCCTTCCAAACCGTCCCATAGGTTCCTTTACCCACGGCATCGCCCTAAACCCTAAACCCTAAACCCTAAACCCTAGACCCTAAACCCTAAACCCTAAACCCTAAACCCTAAACCCTAAACCCTAAACCCTCCTACATCAGGGGATGTTAGGGTTCGGGTTTGGTGGGTGCAGTCTGGTGGCTCTAGGGTTCCGGGCTTTGGGGCTGGGGGTTTTGGGCTCAGCGGAATGTACCGGTTTAGGGTTTGGGGTTTAGAGTTTAGGGTTAAGGGTTTGCGGTTTAGAGTTTAGGGTTTAGGGTTTAGGGCTTTCTCAATATCCGGGCCGAAAACTAGAAGGCTTTCAAGATGCCTTAAAGGTTCAGAGGGCCATTGGTTAGACGGGTTAGCATATCTGCGTATCGTACATGCTACGGAACAAGTTGATGATTGTGACGGCTCTTATACGAGTTAGCTTCGTTTCGGCAGAAGGCCTTGTCAAACCTTGCCTCGAACGTGAAGGCAAAATGCTGCAGACCGAGATCCTAAAGTATAGAATCTTGTCCCTACGTACTTGAAACATCAGAAATGGCTATAGCTGCCCAGACGAGGTTTACCCGAATGAAACATTACTTACAAGGTACTTCCTAAGTCCTCCGATCCATCACGTCAGGCCCCCAAACCCGCCAAACCAAAAGCCCAAAAACAGCCCTTCCACTGAAAGCACAGCTTGCAAGCCACAATGAGTCCACATAATGTAGGGGCCTCATGTAGGGGCCTTAATAATTAGACTCGGCTTTTGGGCTCCTAAACCCTAAACCCGAAACCCTAAACCCTAAAACCCTACAATCTAGTAGAATTATAAGAAGGAGCCCCCCAAAATAATACAGGTAATTCTTAAGGCCCCTATATTAGGAGGAGTTCAGGCTCGGGCTCGCGGACCGAGGGTTCTTGTCAAAGGCCTGAATAAGTAGAACAGGGTAATGTAGGGGCCTAAATGATTACCTATACTATTTTGGGGGCTCCTTCTTATAATTCTGCTATAATGGGCCCCAAAACCCGATTCTGATTATTGAGGCTCCTATGGTGTCGGGGGATAGCATGCTACAATTATGCTACTACTTGTTCAGACTCCTATTTTACGGTTTTGCAATCAGAGGTGCCGTCCATAATTACGGGCTTTCGGTTTAGAAGACTTGGCCGCAGGGGCTTGGGGCTTCGGGGGGAGGGGTCATGGGCTAGGGCTAGGACCTTGGTTTGGGCTTTGGCTTTAGGATTCAGAAATCGCAAAGGTAGGGATGATTCCTGCATCTTCTCAGAACAAGCTGCCTCTCGGTCCTTCGCTTCAGACTTGCGGTGGATGCGGCGGTACCTCTTCAACACTTCTCCTGCTGTCGGATGCCCTAAGCACCGCGTGAGGATCAACGGCATTGTCGGATACGATGGGCTCTTCGCCTTAAGTCCTAAGCCTTCGGGTCTGCCAACCTTTCGGGGAGGTTCAGCTGGTCGGTGCAGGCGAAGTTCAGGGAGATGCCATGCTTTTCACGCCATAGGGTAAGCCTGGAAGATCCTGAAGTGCAGATTTTAGATTTCTGAGGGTTGCATTGGACTGGTCTTGGAAAGTGTCGGATGTCTCACCATCTTTAGGGCGCAGTATGATCACGAGCGGTTTGCAGTTTCTGAACCTGGTTGGGGGCACGTCTTGGACTTGATCTTGTTGACCCGGCGCTTGGTCTGCTGCTCCCGAAGCATCAGCGCCTCAAAGGTATGCAGGAATGTCTTCACTGATCCAGCGATCTCGTGCTCTTCAGCTTCTTCTTCCTCCCCCTGACTTCGACAAACATTACACAAATATTACAACGAATGTTGTTGCAACTACTACTTCCTACTCACATCTTCCTACTGACTGACTCTTACTACTGACGACTGGCTACTCACTACATACTACTGACTGCGAACTAACTACAGCCTACCTACTACCTGCTACTCCACCACCACCACCACCACCACCTTCACTACTGTCTCTCACACTACCACCCTACCAGGACTACCGTTTCCACCACGAACACCACCAACACCACCCAAACACTACCAACCACCGCCACCACCACACCACCACCACCACCGCTAATCACTACCACTACCACTATCCTCTATCCCTCTACCCCTCTACCCCCCTACCCCTCTACCCCTCTACCCCTCT